TGATTGATTGATGTTCTACTCTTGCAGCCCCGGTACCTTCCATGTCAGGTTAATAACAAAACAAACATGAGTTGCATGGTATAGGGAACATTAGCAAAAATCAATTTTCAATAGTGATTTGGAGGGATTCGAATTGAAATCTAAACTAAACTCTAAACTAAAAACTTTATATTCTAAACTTTATGTTTGAAATATCTTTAATCTTGTCATTTTCATATACAAATCTATTTATTTGTAATAACCCACTAAAGGCTAAAACTGCAATATAGTGGTAGAAAGGTCGAAACCACAGGGACAAAGGAACACACAGGGTACAAAGTGTCACGTTTAACAGACTATTGAGGAGTTTGAATTCTCATGCGACTGTCACTCCCAGAAATACTGCAAGTGTCCACTCGGAGCGCACTCGGAGGTCGCTGAGTGCAGCGTAACACACACACACACACCTGAAACTACAGAAACACAACCCAGAGATCCGTTAGGACCTCTACTCAAGATTTCAGGGGGAAGGTCTCTCAAGAGTACACTCAGCGAAGCTGCGGGTAGTGACTCCCAACTTCGGCTTTTACAACACTTCCACTAGCTTGCTGCTAGCGTAGGAAACCCGGTTTGGACTGCCTATTTCGGATCGAAGTCATTCATACGCGGTGAACAACACTCTCAACTCACAAAACGCGCAGAGAACACAGGTCCGCACAGAAGGACTCCTGAGAAACATTCCAGTACCACACCATAACAGTCTATTGAAGAGTTTGAATTCTTAGGCACTTCTTCTTGAATTCTTAGTATTTCTGTCATTCCCAGAAATACTACAGGGGTTACTCCGAAGGCACCTGCTGCAGCGTAACCTGAATTTACAACCAAGGCTTACACGAAGTAACAAAACTTCACTTTGGCATTCAGGGGAAAAATCCCGAAGGAGTACAATCAGGAACAAACACTCGAAGGTGTAGGGGCGAAACTATTCAAGTATCTAACTAGTCACTGGCTCTGAGCATCGGCAATCACCCGCAGGTGTAGATCCGAACTACTCAAGTCTGTAACCAATGTACTAGCTCTGAACATTCGGCCGAAGGCCTTCAGCTACACAATGCGGACCGCTAAGGTGTAGCTCCTCGTGCGTGGTGACAGAACTAAGGACACAAACACGCAGAGAAAATGAGTTCCTGATCTGCACTTCCGATGTTGGGAAAGATCACAAGGCAAGATGCCTTGAACTACTTTATGCCTTCTAAGTCCTAACCAGCACTACACTACACTACGCCATGGTGCGAGCCGCAACAGATCCTACACCTGAGGAGTCGGCGGCTGCCTTCCACTCTAACTTACAACCTAAATCTAACCCTAACCCTAAATCTGAATCCTAAGCCTACTGTACAGAGCCGCCAGCGCCTTTCCACCCAAGATCTGAGGCTGAAACTTTGCAGACATGCGTGGCCGGCCGAGATCAACGGCCCCACAAAATTTCAGATCCATCCGACCGTCCATCGTAAAGATATGGGCCCCGCCGTTTTGCGTCCCACACTTGACATAATCCCGCCAACTTCCGCCATCGGGAATCTTCTGCCACGTGGCACCGAAGGCCCTTGAGCCGAAGGCGGATCTTCCGCCGGCTCCTTTCCTTTCTTGCGCTGCACCGGAGGTGAGTCTCGCCTATGCGTAGGCGCTCGCCTATGTGCAGGCAGTCTCCCGTCCGCATAGAGTCGCCTATCTATAACAGTCATCCCCGTCGCTCATAACTCACAGATCCCTGCTTCGTTCGAAACGTTCTTGGGCTCGTTGGAACAAGTGTGTTGTGCTCTTTCCAACAAGACCCTAACTAAGTCAAACCATTAAAAATTGAGAAAGTTATGACGGTTTTACTTTTCCGCCGAAGGCGTTTGCCTATGCACTCGCAGTCGTCCGCGTCGCAAGCCGCCTACTCGCAGACGTCCTTGGGCCGAAGGCCCCTCTATATGTTAACGCCGAAGGCCTCTCTACTAACCATGACAGCCGCTTTTGACGCTCATAACTCAGTGACACCTTATCCGTTTCAAGAGTTCTTGGTCTCGTTGGAACGAGCGTCGCTAGTTCTTTCTAACAAGACCCTAACTAAGTCAAGGCGTTACGAATTGAGAAAGTTATAAGGGATTCACTCTTCCGCCGAATGCACTTTCCCGCATCGCCGAAGGCGTTGACCCCAAGGCGTCTACCGCCGAAGGCGCATCTTCCGGCGGTTTTTCCGCCGAAGGCGTACCGCCAAAGTCGCTCTAACGCCGGAGGCCCCCCATCAGTAACTTCAGACACTCATAACTCAGTGAGCTCTCATTCGTTTCACAAGTTCTTGGGCTCGTTAGAACTAGCGCGTCGTGCTCTTTCCAACAAGACCCAAAACAACTCAAAATGTTACGAATTGAGAAAGTTATGAGTGATCTACTGCCGAAGGTGCTCGAAGCGGATCCTACAGCATGAACCGCCTGTTCCGTCCCAAGCGTCCCACTGTGGCCTAAGCCCAAAACACCTTGACTGTCCTCGATCCTCTTTTTACTCTGGTTTCGTGTACCAATTACTATTTACAGCTGCCACCGCGGTACGAACTATTCAAAAATGTTTTAGTTCTGACGAAAAACAAAAAATGGGTTACCACATTGTTATATGTATCTCATTCAAAATTAAAAAATGTATATATCAAAATAAATATATTACTATTCATCATATATATACCAAGATCAAATACACTCTGACTGAATAATTATGATTTTTTTTACTCATTGCACAAGGTGTTTACTCTAGACCTTATCTAAGTTAGCAAGCTCCAAATGATGTTGTTTTGTTTTTTTTTTCACATGGCTAGTAAATTATTTCACAAATATTATTTGATTCCAAAAATAAAAGAATCAAATAAAGTATTTATCTTAGAAAGTAAAACTGTAAGCGTTTCAAGTTAACAAAAAAATTTGAATAATATCATATTGAAGAACTAGAATATTACGTGTTTATTCCTTACATGCTACAATCACATCTATGTTCATAGTATTGCTGGAAGTACTATTAATCTTACACCTTCACTGTTGGAAATGTTTTCCGAAAGGTTCACTGTTATAGAATATCAAATAAAATAGATATGAAAATATATAGGTAAAGTTGACTTATTATGTGGTTGCACATTTCCATTATGTTCTTTTTCTGGGAGCCGATTTTGCTTTATTTGCGGAATTCTATTACTGGATAGGTAAAATAACTGGTATACTTCTAGTAGAATTCTACTTAGTAGTATTCTAGTAGATTCATATATTCTAAGTATATCAGATCTAAAGCAAGTCACAGAATATTTGAAATATTACCATGAGGCAGTATTAGGCCTTCCAAATTTCGATCTCTCTTGGATTTGTGAAAATAATGCATTTTGATACACTTAAAAGATGGATTTTATATAAACTCATGAATCGTGAGAAATCGTTACTTCTAGCAATCACTGTCTTTTTTATTACTTGTTTCTTTCAATATCCCTCTCCTTTGTTTTTAGTTTCTCATCAAATGGCACTTTGCCTATGTGTATGAGCTTGATGATTTCTCGACGAGAGCGCGGGAGGACGCGACACAAGAAAATACATCTTTGTTTTCGCGACTGATTATCTATCATATATATATATAGAGAAATCTCCCCTCCCCTCCCCTACAGAGAAAAGGCTTTCTGATTTCGTGGCCCTTGTACAAATTTCACAGTTTGTAAAAGGGCCACGAAATGAGTCCGCGCCTCTTCACATATGTCATCAAATATTGTTGTTTAATTTATAGACAACTACTAGGGAGAACAGGTTTTCTTCTCTAGGATTGAAGCTAAAATTTGACATATTTATGCAAACTTGGTATTGAAAACACCGGAATCTTCTATGATAACCTATATGGTATGTTCAAATGAACTTATATGACGTTATCAAACTTTATGATACCAACTGCAACAATATTGTTTTCAATTTTGAGAAGCAAATCGGATATCATCCTTATCTTTCAAAAAATGTTTAAGAGCACACTCCAATTTATCGGCTAATCTCCATCAATATTTGACGCATTTTAAAGGAAAATGCCAAAATTGATAAACCACTCTAGTACGAGATCCGCCCATTAAAAACTCAAACTTCTTCTATTCCATTATCACATCATAACAAAAGATAGCAAAAACCTCTACAAAAATACACCACACAAGGTGCTAACAAACAGGATACTCATTCCTTATATCATCAAATCCTTTAGTATTATCTAGAGGGACTTCAATTGTGTTTCATAGAATCATAAAATGGATAATCTGGTTCAATTCAATAATTTATGTCACTCTAACGAGAAACACATACGCTTTAATAAAAAATCACAAACAGTAGAAAGTGTGCCAGCCAAACACTATTTGGTTGGCTAATAATAAAAAATGGTTGACTAAAAAATAATAATTAAATTTGGTCGAAAAACCTTCCGGCATAAAGTATGGCCTTCAAGGATATATCCTCTCGATATTTTTCAACCTACGTTGATTTGGAGGCTTCAGACTATGAGTTGAAACTGCATCTCGCAGTGAGTGGACCAAAGGGTTGATTGTTCAAAATCACTCAAGCGACGACAGTGAAGAAGTTTTCGTGGGAACTTCACGACACGATAAGTTGACTTTACAGGGAATCTGTGCACGCATATGTGAGAGCTGGTGGAAAAACTCCGTGTACATCTAATAATGATATCAATCATTGGTACCATCTACCAATACAGTTTGAGTATCCCCTGTTAAACAACCAGACGCTTGATAAAAGGGAATTACCTACGAAAATAACCTCCAACTTCCTCGAAGTCTCACCATGTGCTTTCTCAATGACGATACATCTTACCTGATACATCTTACCTGACATTCTTATTGCACGTGTCTCCGTCCATACGCAGTAAGTCCTTTTGCTCCGCCAACGGTGATTGCAAGTCCAAGTCCTTGTGCTACTTATAAAAATAGTTTCTGCTTTATGCTTTGTAGTTTCTGCTTTAATTATGCCCAGAAGGACATGCTGCGTGGGCGGTAAGTCTTTGCAATTAGCTTGACAGTAAACCTCAGCGTTGCCACTCTGTGCGATTCCTGGAGTTTTACGACCGCTCTCATAACAGCGAGAATGGAGCTCAGCGTTGGCGCTTACTGCAATTCCCGGGTTTTTTATTGTACGAGTGGTCTTACGAGCGGTACGTTTAATATCGGTGTCCATTTATTGGCATGCAAACACATTCAAACGTGAACGTGTATTTGCGTGTCGGTTTGAGCGTATGGTCGGCAGAGTCCTCAGAAGAATGTCGTAGAAAAGAATGTACTCAAAGAAACTAGATTCTTGACCAGAACCTCAACTCTGTTGGGATGATGAATTGGTAAACTGAGCCTTAAGATCTATGTCTTTAAGGAAGCTGTCGGAGTTCGTGCGTAGATCACTGACGTTTTCGACTGATATTCTTACTTTGATACAGCTTGTAATGAGAAAAGCTTCACACTTCGGAACGCGTCTGCAATGGGCCCAAGTTTAAACTCGGATTCTACCGTCTTGAGCATCAGATCTGAGTTCAGAGAAGGACGATTTCTAAGGCAGTCGAAGAGCGACCCGTACAGAACTGACATCCGCAGCAGTTCTGAGATAGGCCCAAGTTTAAACTCGGATTTTACCGTCTTCAGCATCAGATCTGATTTCAGAGAAGGACGATTTCTAAGGCAGTCGGAGAGCGACCTGTACGCAAATGACATCCGCAGAAGTTCTGAGAACGATTTCAGAGTCCCAGATTTCCAGCACCCTTACCCAAAGGCCCGACTCAACCCCTTGGCTGCGCAGTGCCATGACATTTCCAATGACTGGATCGTTTCTTTGGGCATAGATAAGGAGCTGGGTCCAAGTATGTGGCAATCGTGTATGGCGGCCAAATTCTCTAAGCTTATTGGCTATATCTACGACGATATAGAGCACAAAGATTTCCTTTGGCTGTGCAAAATCCTTACATTATTCTTTGCTTTCGATAGCAAGATGGATGACGGTGAATTGGCAGACCGGATAGATTTTTCGTGTGATGTAATTTTAGATATGAATTTGATTATCTTGTGGAATGACCCTGACAACGAGCGATTACTGGAAGGCTTGAAATCCATTCTGGATACGTTGATGGAAACTGAGGCCTCCAGAAAACGCGCGCAGCTCCACACAATTCATGCAGATCTGGTGCATGCCAGGAACAAATCGAAAACACGTAATGTTTGGACGAAAATTCTCTCCCGATTATGACCTGTCTTCTGTTAACGTCAACTACTGATTTGTCCGCTGAATTGTATTGTCTTGCTTGAACTGATGGCCACGGTCCATGTGATATAAGCCCTGCGGAGAGTAATTTGCATGTCAGGGGGAAGCATACCGTCAGACTAGCCATGAGGACCTGAGGTTCGAGAAAATCCACCTCAGAATTAGGATTCATAAATAGGCTGCGAGTCAGGTTGAAGTAAATTTCAGCAGACCTTCATTTATGGACAGAGTGATGAAGCTGAAGAACTATTGCTCCAACTCTCGCAGTTCTCGATGTCAATTTCGGAGCGTTCATGTCGGGATTTCGAGAGCTGTGGCTGGATTATATCGAAGATCTGCCTGTTGAGTGTATATCTAGACAAGCTGAGATATTTCAACAGTACACTGGGGGCTTTTTCTCGGAACAAATAGCTCGAATGAAAGGAACGAATATCAGTTTGTCTGATTGCATCAGAGTTCGACGACTAACCGGAGGTGTGATGCCGTTTCTTGTGAGTTACAGATAACATCACGGACCTTTTCTCTTCTTTCCTCCTTTTGCTAGGACAAAAGCCATCATTCCAGAAGTGTTGAGTGGTTTCGTCTACTGCAGGTTTTCTCAGATCGGATGATTGAGCATAAAAGAAGGAAATCTCCGATTTCTCATCTTCCCGACAGCTTGTTCTACGGAGAAGATATGCAGAATATGCTGGCCGCTTGTACTGACATCATAGGTTGGCATAATGACATTTTCGGTTTCCAGAAGGTACGTTCAGTGCAGTACACTCCGCATCATATGTGTCTCTCAGATTCACACGGCCAGACGAGTGACTTTACACTACTTCACTCCTTGACGTAAGCAGTGCCTGATAGTTATACGAAATAGTGTCTGGACTTGGAGCTTACTTATCTCCTATGGTCGTTTCTTATACAGGAACTATTGAACAATGACCATAAGAACACTTTGGTATATATCGTATTTCATGAATACAACTGCCAATCTTACACACAAGCAGGAGAGCTTGTACTCGAACTACTGCAAGACAGAATCGTTGAAATGGAACTTGCGTATGAACGGCTGAGATCTGCGGCCACTCCTGAGTTTCATCCCGCAATTGACCTGTTCATAAAAACTTGTCGAGATTGGATTCCTGGAACGCACGAGTATCACATTACTTCCTCGCGATACGTTGTGTCTAATTCCTCTTTTTCAGACACAGGAAAATCTAAAAAGCTAGAACACATCATCAAGCGTCAATAAATATACGTAGAGGCTCGGGTGACAGTGGAGACGTATGCTTTGTCTACACTCTGTCTGTACTTGTGAAGCAACGCTGAAGAAAGACTATAGTTGAAGTTGCTGGAGCCGTGGATGAGATATTTGTCTTATGGCCAGTTTAGAGTTTAGATGAGTTAAACCCTTAAACTTCCAGATGAGTGCATGGACAGAACCTTGTGTCGCCTTCAACACTACAGGAATCCATGGGAATGAAAATCATATCCTAGTCCTTCCATTATGCCCCGTATGAATAAAGACTCTTTAACAATACAAAGACTACATGTACGAACGTGAAAAACGATGTATGCAAGCAACAACAGTGAGCAAACAACAGTTGTCCAATGCTAAAATGCTTGTAAAACCAGGTGTTGACATTTTATGAGTGATTAGACATATACTTTACATAAATAAAGTATCACAATTGAAGAAGTGATTTCATATGAATGACATTGGTATCCTTAGCGTTCATATCGTTGAAAAAAAAGGGACAACGAACTAGATCGAGAGATCGTGAGATCGAGACGTTTTTCATGAATCCATCGGAAAAGTGTCATTCAACTGAGCATTGCGCAATGTACTTGTCTCGAATCTGGAACGTTATTATCTCACTTTTTCCGCACTTTGATATTGATTGATTTGGAGTTCTAATTTTTAGGTGATTAGATTGAATACTTTTCATTGTAATTTATCAGCCATGAAAATCTATTCTCACGTATGAGCAATATTGAAAACTAATTCACAAATGATTGTTCAAATAGATCTGATGCATGTTAGATAATCCTTGTTGTCTTCTGGTTTTAGTATAACCTGTCTGTAGTTGCAGGTAGCAACTATTATAAGCATAGTGTCATTAGCTCTGCCTTCCTATACACGCTTAGTGGTTAGGGTGGTTTTTTTAGTCAGATGGATTAACTCCTGCGTGGATTCATGCTGTGATAGTAAATCCGAAAATTAGGGCATGGTTACTACGTGTTCATTATGGCTGGTATGTAAGTGTCAAGCTCTCACGTTAGTGTTAGTAGTATATAAACCCCTCTTAATACGAAAAGGATGTAAGTCAGTTTTCCACCACGATCAGTTTGCTCAGTTCTGAGTGAGTTCTAGCTTGAGCTTTGTGGCTCTTGTGTTATGTTCTTTCTCTTGTTGTACAGGTTACAGCACTACAGTTTGTCAATGTTCTGTGTGATCAGGTTGCAACAGGACCTGCAAATCAACAATGCAGTAGTCTCATAGTGCTGCTCCCGAATTGACAGTTTGTCCAACGTGTAGTTCCAATGACGCCAAAAGGATCATTACCATACATTTCATATTTTGATGGCTGCAACATTCCCCTGCCCGTTTGCAACGCGTGTTTCTGACTGTTATTTGAACTCAACGGGGCTCCAAACAGTGAAACATCACAAAGAAACGTATTACTTGCGTTGAAATCCTAGATCTGAATTTAATTGATATTGTTGTAGGTATGTACATCGGTCGAGTGAAGGAACCAGTACGTTACATCTTCTAACTACTATCCAGGATTCTCTCTGTGTTCTATCATATTGCGTCTCTCTACCTCGCATCATGCTGGAGGCTGAAGATACGTGTCATTGTATATTCTGCACCTCTTTGGAGAAGCTTCGCGAGCGATTTTGTTAGCTGAGAACTACTGCCAGAGAAAAAGATTTTAAAAAAAGGGCTTTGTTCTTGAGTTGGATGAGGAAATTGACGAAGCGGCTAATAAGAGATAGCACTTCAGGATTCTTAGTGAAACTAAGAATGTGAGAATGGGATGAATCCGGATGTGACAGCGAGACCAGTATGACAATAGGAATTCAGATATATCAAGAAGATATGTATTGTGATCTTCGTCCTCTAAAACTCTTCGTACTCGTCCTTGTGATCCTGTGCTTTGACATAGACTTTTGGATCTTAAGCGCTAAATGTCAGCTAAGATGTATCGTCATTGACAAAGCAAATGGTGACACATCGAGGAAGTTGGAGGTAATATTTGTCAGTAATTCCCCTATGTTAATGTGATAACCCACTTTTGGTATATTTGCGGAATTTAAAACATTTTTGGAAAACTGTACCGCGGCAGCAGTGTAAATAACCATCGGTACATTTAAATAGAGTGAAACTGGATGATCTCGGAGAATCTCGTAAAATCTCGTAGAATCCAAGAGTTGGGCGCAATGTCTGGAACAGGCGCCGCCCTTAACGACGGGCTCTGAAGGAGTTCCCCTTCGGTGCAAGGTGCATAATCCGCCTTCGGCGCTAGAGAGAATCCCTCAGAATCTATGCAATTCTCAAACGCCTTGACTTGGTTAGGGTCTTGTTGGAAAGAGCTTGACGCGCTGGTTCTAACGAGCCCAAGAACGCCTGGAACGGATCAGGACTCAGGGAGTTGTGACGGTCGAAAGATACGAAGACTTTCGCCTACGCATAGGCGAAATGGGTTTGACGTCGGTGGGGAGTCCGCCGAGAATGCCACCTACGCATAGGCGAGGAGGACTTGCACCTACGCATAGGCGGACGGAGATCGCCTACGCATAGGCACTTCGGCGTCGGCGGGAAGTCCGCCTTCGGCCTTAGAAATCCGCCTTCGGGGTTGGAACTTGTACGGCGCCGTCGGCGCCAGCGCATCACGGTTAGGTGAGGACCCAACGAAATCCGTATGGACCGTACGGACTGTACGGACGGAACGGACGAGTGCGCCTTCGGCCAGTCGGGATTTCGGAGACAAGAGCGCCGACGGAGAGGCGAGAGAGATGGACAGACTGGACGGAGTCCGTTGACCGCGGTCAACGCCTTCGGCACAGCCGCCTTCGGCGCTGCGCCTACGGCGAGGGACTTGCGCGGACGAGCGTCTTGTGTGCGGACGGATTCCGCCTACGCATAGGCGAGCGGCACGCACAGGCGGATGAAGTTCGGCGCCGGCGGAAACTCCGCCGGGGATTCCGCCTACGCAGATGGGAGTTCGGTTTTTGTCCTATGCGCGTACGAACGCGATCGGCGGAGCGGGACTAGCCAAGTCAAAATACGGATGAATGTAGCGCGTCGGACCTAGAAATCTGCCTTCGGCGCTGCGCGACCATGGCCGCGGCGTAGTACGCTGGCGGAGTTCAAATTGCCAATTCGAGCGTGTGAGTGAAGGCGCGTCGGCGGAGAGTGAAGCCGCGCGTGAGAGAGAAGGCCGTTATACCTCGGAGCCGGCGCAGCCATCAAGTGATTCGGCTTTCACGACCAAGAGCCGACCATGACCCCCTGCGAGCGGACAGAGGACACCCCATTCTTGAATTTGCGATTTCAATTCCTTGTGCGAGCTGCGCGCGTCCACCTTCTAGCTGAGAGACGTTCTAGACACCACCGCGCGGAGAGTTACCCGGTGGCAGGGAGAGAATTGAGTGCGCGACATTTGGAATTGAGAGAGATTAGAGTTTGCAAAGGAAACAGAACCGCGAGCAAGAGGCTCGGGCATAGCAGAGAGAGAGGTGCGCAAACCAATTTCAAGAACGCGATGTCGACATCGGTGAAGCTGCGGATGGTGCCACTCAAGCTCCCGCACAATGGGTTGCGTGCTTTTGAGGACCGGCTGATTGCGAGGAAACTCAAATTCTTGCTGTGGGGATGGAATTACGTGTGCGCAGATATGGTGCGCGAATGGCTGGACGAGGAACGGCAACCTACGCGCGGATTCCGTCCGCACGTATATCGATGGACTGTCGGCGATTGGGTACAGGCATTGGGAAGGTGTGCAGGTGAGGACGGGTACCTCCTGTTTGACAGTGAGAGCGTCAAGGTATCGAAGGCGGACGAAGCCTCCTTTGTGGAATTGTTCAAGCGGGAGAGGTCCTCCAAGAACGGGTACAGGACCCGAGACTACAAAGATCGTTTCCTCAAGACCGTAGCGATGGCGCTGCTGCAACTATTGCAGCCGCATCACACTACATACATCACGTTGTGGCAGGTGTCCTTCGTGGAGCTCACATTGGCTAGAGCTTCAGTTCACTGGTCGCGTATCCTGCATAGGGTGATGCGACATCATGCGTTTGAGAAGCGGGGAGGAACGCTCAATCACCTCTCCCCCTTCTTGATAAACTTTTATCGGTCGATGAATTGTTTAACCGCGGCCGAGCGTGCTCGATTTCCGCCCTTGTTAGTCGACCATCCCGGGAGGTATGTGCGGGATAACGAAGTAGACACCGACGCGAAGGACTCACCGACTTCCACTTCACCGGGTCAACAGGATGCAGGGAGAGACACATCCGCAGCGCGAGTGCCGCGGAAGCGGAGATGGAGAGAGGAACCGGAGAAAGAGCAACATCAAGAATCAGCTGCTCTCACCCGGAAGCGGCCACTGCACGAGATCTGCAGCCGGCCGAAGCAGAAGGCGCGCAGGCTTTTGTTATCTGCCAGCAGCGCGGAAACGGCGACGATCGCCACAGAGAAGGGAAGTCCATCCCCGGAGAAGGGTAGGACTGCGCGGACGGCCGAGGGGTCAGTAGACCACCCTACGCCTTCGGTGGAGGAGAGACGACCTTCGGGTCAGGAGCTACAATGTGCGGCGCGGATGAGTGTGCCGCCTACGCATAGGCGACTCCCTGTGGATAGGCGACCCCTTGCGGACGTAGACTTGTGCCTACGCATAGGCAGAGAAAGTTCGCCTACGCATAGGCGAGTGCCTACGCATAGGCAGGACTCACCCCCAGTGCAACGCAAGAAGGGGAAGGAGCCGGCGGAAGATCCGCCTTCGGTTCAAGGACCTTCGGGGCAAGGCCCTCCGGCGGCGAGATCGCCGGGATATGCGCCTTTGGCGGGAAATCCGCCGGAAGGTGCGCCTTCGGCGGAAGGGCCTTCGGGCCAAGGGACAACGGGCGGGCCGCCTTCGGCGGTAGACGCCTTCGGCGCTGCGCCCTCGGCGGAAGAAGCATCGGGAATTGCGCCTACGCATAGGCCGGACGCATCCCTGGTGCAGGACCGATCGGCGGAGCAGGACCTTACGGAGGAGCGGGTTGACTATCCGCAGGGTGAAATTAGTGCGCGCGATGCACAATTACACTCCGCGCAGGTACATTCCGCACGATCACCTTCTGCGGTAGACGCCGGCGGCGAGGAGGTTACAGTCGCGGCGGGACAGGGACAGGCGGACGATGCGAATTTGGCACGGCCGCATTCACCCACCGTCTTGGACATTTTAGCAGGGAGTAGCGAGGCTGCAGGAGTGCCAGCGGCGGCAGAGCACGCATACATCTCGCAGCCCCGCACAGGCCAGTCGCCGACGAATTCAATG